ATATATCGATTATTTTGCTCTTGAACTTTCGATGTGGGATGACACTCTAACAACAAACACTTTTGATTTTTAAAAATAATATAGAGCACAATTATGAAATATATAATACCTAGAAAATACCAACACATTACAACCACAACGTAACATAATTGTTGAAATGTAAGTATTTTTGTAATACTTTTCTTACTCATATTTAACTAGCTATTATGACATTTATGACCTATCAAAAGTGAAATTAAACATAGATATACAACATTTCTGCATATAAAATTTAACTTTTGAAATATTACAAATCAAATGATGATCACTTAGATATCAATAAAACGTGTTTTCATTAATGCTTTAACCATGGGCATTTTCTATGGTAAAGGCAGCTTTATTTGAAGAGGCAAAGGCAAACAGAGGGTGGGTGTGGCATTATTTTCATCATCAATTGGGTCTCCTACAATTTGACCTAATCTCCCCATTTGACCCGGTCAAAGGGCTAATATTACCCATTTTAATCATGGACTGGGCAAAGTTCTGAAAGAACGTTGCCTGGTTCGAACTGAACGTGTTGACCAGTGCCACGGTCGCCGCCCCGGACGTCGAAAACAGCTCCTGGTCGGACTGGAGGAGCCCGTTGTTGCCCTGCAAGTTGGAGAAATAGTTGTTGTCGAACCCGTCCGGAGTCGTCGGGTCGAGGTTGGTGACCGTGGACCCCGGCCCGTTTTGCGGACAAGTCTGTTGCAGCGTGGCTAAGTAAGTCGCGTTCAGGGTCGGGTCGGGTTGGCCCGTGTTGCCGAAGTTGTATAGTCTGCTGCTGAACGTGGCACACCTTGCACGTCCAAATGTATGTGCACCTAATTAAACGTAACGTAACTATCATTCATTAATAATAAGGACAAAAATACACATGCATGCACAAATAAATAAACAAATATATAGACACACATACCAGATAAAGCGACAAGATCATTAACGTTCAATCCAACGTTAGAAAACTTAGAGGTAATGTTTGTCAAGCCATCAAAGGGAGCTGGAATTGCAGTGTTAGCTAATCCTTGGTTTGCATTTCTACTGTCTCTTCTCCCTAACAACACATTCCACGTTGGACCCCCAGCCTACAATATTATATTCATGCATGCATCATATTATGCTTTCAAGCAAATACTTAGTAAAATACCATTCAATAATAATTGATTTTATTGAATAACGAGAGTTACATAAATATATATAGAGAATGCATATGCAGAGAACTCTAATCAAAGTAGAATACTGAGTATTTGTCTAGTTTTTAATTTTTTCCTCAGTTAACTATTTTCAATCTTTGACCTATTTTTAAATAAAACTATATGGTATATGAATTAAATCTAATAAAAAAATTTGTATCAATAATATATATAGAAATAATACGTAGTATCAATTTTATTTAGTTAATAGTCAAAAGTTATCAATTTTGATTGTAAAAAGTCAAAATTGAACAAATTCTCAGGAACATAGACATAAATAATTATGGTAAAAAAAGAATAATTACCATAGAGACTGCGGCTTGGGAAGCAAGAGCAAGAATATCGGCGCATGAGACGACGCCCGGGCAAGCGCTCTGAACCGCGGACTTAATGTTGTCCACGACATCAAAACCCCTCGCGGAGTTATTGGCGTTTGGAGCCGCGTCTTTCTCGCTCACAATTGTCGTTCCGTTGTTGTCTAACAAAAGCGACCCATCACATCCCTGCACCATACATGCAAAACCACCAATGATCACGCTTTAAGTTCTTGAGTTAAACTAGATAACTGACTAAAATTAACTTTTCTTTAAACATGATCCATCCTAAGTAATTAAGTTTTAAAAGGTGACCGAAAAAAGTCAAATGAAAAAAAATAATTTTCGAACGAAGAGAGTATTGTTATAGACATTACATTGACGAAGCAGTCGTGGAAATGGAGACGAATGAGGCTGGCGCCGATGCGGGGATCGTTCCGGGACGCCTGTTGAATCACACTACTCACAATTGCAGACACATTGGAGCATGTGTTTGAGTAAAACGTTGCACTTAGCTGAGCCTCTGTAGATTCACTCAAGAAGAAGATGATGAAGAAGAAGAGCTTTATTATAATTCCCAAAGTGGTGGCCGCCATTGCCGGCGAGCTGCCGGAACTCGAACGGCGGCTAGCCATTTATATTTCGAAATAATATTGAAAAAGGAAATACGTATTTCTCGTTCAATATAATTGTAATTATATTCGTATAGTTTTGGAGTCGTAATATATTGAAAGCTAAGATATGCATGCATTTATATAGTGGAGAAGAAGGTACGCATACGTATATAGTGTATGTACTCCTTACTCGTTTACTTTTCAGCCTCATCTTTATATTTAATTGAAATAATTCTCTCCAATTTTAATTCTATAGTTTAAATTTTGTGCACCCAATTGAGAGTTAAAAAACACAACTTTTTTACGGAGTACATTCTAACATGCCTTTGACGTGCAAGCGAGGCAAATTTAGTCATTGATAATTAGATTTAAAATCGTGATAATTTCTCAGACAACAAGGCTCTCTCACAGTATCTGGATCAGAAAATAATTAAACTCAACCAAAAGCTGAAACTTGAATTGGAAGGTACAAGAATGTTTTTATATTTACTCTTACACGTTCTCCACATGCAGGTGATATCTATTTCTTTGAGGGTTAGAACACGAGAATATAATTTTTTTTAAATCAATAAAAATGAGATTCTAAATCGCGACTTCTAGATCAACAAGGCTCGTTATATTGTCATAACTGTAATTATAACTACTTAATCAAAAGTTAAGACTTGTGATTGTAGTTCGATGGAGAATCATTTGTTTATATTCAAAATAAAAATCTTAATACAAAGAACAAGTCAATGGGAAGACTGAATAAGTAGTGTATCAACTATCAAGTTGCAAGTACTTTTAAGCTTTGATTGCTATGAGTAAGCGGTTGAGGGAAAGCCAACCCTCTCCGTCCATCATAAATGACTAAGTTGGAAGGGCTCAGTCAGACTCGTTTCAGTTAATTATATTTAGAAAAGGCTAATTCAAGCTTAACTCTGTTATTCTAAAAAATGTTTTTTTTTTAATGTAAGACTTAAAACTTTTTATTCCTCATCAAGTTGTATTTGAGTAATATCTAATGTCATTGGACATGTATTCGAACAATGCCTAGTGGACACTGGACAATGGTAATATATGGTACTACTTTAGAAATTAACTATGTTTTAGTACTATATAAGTAGATTTCTTAGATAAAAAAATATAGGTAAATTTTTCTTAAATATTTGTTTAATTTAAATTATATTTCATTTTTGTATTCATTTCCATTATCATTCATAAGTTGTACTCCCTCCATTCTTGAGTATTTGTCTATTTTTAATTTTTTTTCAAGCAAAATTGACAAATTTTGACCATAAATTAAATAAAAGAGATACGAGTATTAGATAATGATAAAAAATAATTTTATTAGATTCATTGAATAAAATATTTTGAAAAATTTTATTTGATCGAATTAATATAAGATATATATTTAATGATCACTCACATCTTACGTGTGTCATTTTATTTTTCTTAACCCAAATTTATAAATGTTTAATTTTGGAAAAAAGCTTTAACCAGAGGTTGATTCAGAGCCCAAATTTTAAAGGAAGTGGTGGGATTTGGGCCAAAGCCCAAACGCAACATCACAATAACGACAGCGAACTTCCTCCGTCTCCTCAAATTTATGGGGCCATGAATTGGATCAAAACCAGCCATGACCAGTCCAGCTTCTTCTTGCCTATTCAACTGTAGCCAACCAATGGGAAGAAATTGGAGCTTTATTGTTTCTTTAATACTACTTTTGTCCTTGATTATTTGTCCAGTTTTGATTTTTTCTTGTCAACTATTTTTAATCTTTAACTTATAATTAAATAAAATATATATTGTACTTTAATGAAATAAAATAATATTTTGAAAATATTTGATATAATAAATCTCAGAAAACTTTTTTTTGTATCAATATCTAATATCATTTTTACTTAATTTGAGATCAAAATTTACCAATTTTGACTGAAAAAATTAAAAGTAAACAAATACTCTGGGACGGAGGAGTACGAAGAAGGCAGGCGTTACTAAAAGGGAGGCAAACAACATGACAAAATATAAGCCTTCTCCATGTAGGCCCATTATAAATGAGAGAAAGTCCACATTCTTACATGCATACTTTGATCAGGAAAGCACAACTTTATAAAAGCAAAAAGTAGCTTCCCTTATTAGCAAGGATTTATTTTTAGACACCTCATAAAAGATTTCGTAGAAATGAATTACAAAATTGATGGTTCCTACCTCTTACCACCTCTCAAAACCCTCCACACCCCTACCCCATCCCAACCCCTGCACCTCTACCCTAGATCCCCTTTTACCCCCTCCAAATGTGTGGCTATTATGCAATGCATAATAACCACTATTTGTGATTATTATCACTGTTATTTCTCTAGCCGATTAAGATCCCTGTTTTTTTAGAATGAAATTTTAGAATTGGATGTTGCAAGGAACTGGAAAGAGTTAGAGTAAACTGAAAGAAAACTAGAAAGAGTTGAAAAATATTTGAAGAATTAAAGTATTAAAAAGTCATTCAATTAAATTATCGCCCAAATAAATAAATATGATAGAGGTGATATGTTATGAATTAAGATATACAATGGTATTCTGTATTAATTCTATACAAATACTATTTTTAAGTCATTGTTGGAAGAAACTGAAATAAATTGGAAGAGCTTAGAAGAAATTAAAAGAAGTCAGAAGTTAATGTTTCCAACGCAAAAGAAGAGGGACTAAATTAAAGTAGTGTATTTTTTTGGCATTATGTTCTAAAACTATTAGTCCTGTTTTAATACTCCATAGAAAGTCATTGAATGTCCTAATTTGATACTCCGTGTAAAATAGTACAGTGTGTATGTTTTAGACCTTAGGTATTTCTTGCATGCAAATTATGTTGCATATTAATATAAAATGTAATAACCACATTAGATTTATATGGCAGAAAACTACCAAAAGATTATTTCATTCTTTTATTATATTTATTCAATTGATGATCAAATGTCATTCAATTCGAATCTACTTGAATGAAAAAAGTCAAACGCGTACACGTATTAATTTCGGAGACGGCAGTTTTTCCTAATCTCTCCATCAGTTCCGGTCAAAATGCCAATATTTCCCATTTTGATCATGGACTGAATAAAGTTCTGAAAGAACGTTGCTTGGTTTGAAGCGAATGCATTGACCAGGTTAATAGTTGTCGCACCGGATGTCGAAAACAGCTCCTGATCAGATTGGAGAAGCCCATTGTTGTTCTTCAAGTTTGAGAAATAGTTGTTGTCGAACCCGTCAGGGGTTGTCGGGTCAAGGTTGTTCAGATTAGACGACCCAGACCCATTTTGTGGACAAGCCTGCTGCAAAGTGGCTAAGTATGTTGTGTTGAGGGTCGGGTCGGGTTGGCCCGTGTTGTTGAAGTTGAATAGTCTGTTGCTGAATGTGGCACACCGTGCGCGTCCAAACGTGTGCGCGCCCGACAATGCGACAACATCGGTGCTGTTCAGTCCAACGTTTGTGAACTTCTGAATGATGTTTGTCAAGCCTTCCGTTGGAGCAGGAATTGAAGTGTTTGCTAACGACTGATTTGCATTTCTACCGTCTCTTCTTCCCAACATGACAGTCCACGAAGGACCACCGGTCTGTTTTCATAGTATGTGTAAAAGAGCACTAAAACTCAATTCATTTCTCTAAGTAGCACTTAAACTGTTTTATTCTTTAAACAGCATGCACTTAATAATATCCATAATGTCTAGAGATGATGAATATTAATTACTTGAATTATGACTATTGGATAATGACTAAAAGTGCTACATTTGGGAAAAAAACACATGTGATGCTATTTAGGAAAAATCATTATGTTTTAGTGTTATTTACCCCAATCAAAAAAACTTTTTTAGGAAGGGTGAATAAAAATAATGAGAGGGAAAGTAAAATGGAACTAATAATAATTACCAGATTGACGGCGGCTTGGGAGGCAAGAGCGAGAATGTCGGCGCACGAGACGACGCCGGGGCAGGCGGTTTCGACGGCGGACTTGATGTTTTCCACCACGTCGAAACCCCTAGCGGAGTTAACGTTGGGGGCAGCGCCTTTCTCGCTCACAATCGCCGTTCCATTGTTGTCCAACAAAATTGAGGCGTCGCATCCCTGCATGCAATGCATGCAAACACGTGGACGTTCCATAATTGGTACACGAATTAATTCATCTAAATAAACTTAGATTTCAGTTCATAAATACGAGAATGGGAATTCAAAGGAGAGAGGATTTTATGAATTTGTAATTGTATTTTTTTTTGGAAATTAGAGGAATTTGACTCAAACCTAACCTTTTGGGTTTAAAATATAACTCGAGTCAAACTTGAAATTGTGATTTAAAATTGAGATCTTACGTTGACGAAGCAGTCGTGGAAATGGAGACGAATGAGGCTGGCGCCGATGCGGGGATCGTTCTGGGACGCCTGCTGAATCACACTACTCACAATTGCAGACACATTGGAGCATGTGTTTGAGTAAAATGTCTCACTTAGCTGAGCCTCTGCAGATTCACATAAGAAGAAGATGAAGAAGAAGAAGAGTGTAGCTATAGAAAGCATGGGAATAACCTTCATTTTGAGGGAGAGGTTTTAATTTGCTAAACGATCTATTAATTGTGCAGTTATATGTTAATAATAATTAAAGTCACTCGAGTTGGATAGTGAGTACATATGTATAGTAGGTACTATATATAGTTAGTGGAGTAAAAAATATACTCCCTTCTCTCTTTGAAAATCTTTCTGTTTTCATCCATTTCAATTTTTTTTATCATTTCCATTAAAGAATTACTTTTATTCTTACTAATTCTTAACATACATATCAAATCAAATCTATTCACTATTTATTTACCCATTAAATCTTACTTATATCTATCACATCTAAAGATATTTTTAAAAACTCAGTAGCAAAATACATTCTCTTAAAATCTCATAAAAATCAAAACATCTCATGTTTTCAGATTCAAAAAGAAGAAATGGAAAGGGATAATAATTTGTACGCGGTGAAGAAATGGAAAGGGATAATAATTTGACTTTGTGTTTTACTAATAAGTGAACTAATTAGTCAAGAATTTGTGAATGAAATTAACAGCATGTGCATCACTTTCTCAAAGTCTCTTCATTCTTCTTTTTTATTGGTGGAAACAGGGGCTCATCTATTCCGAGTAGACCTGACAATCTGGTCAATTGGTTCGATTCTAGTTCGGATCTTTTCAGCTCGGGTATCTTTCGGATATAGGTTCAATTCGGTTGGAGTATGGGTGTGGAGGATAGAGGCGAGGGCAAGGTGTACGTGTAGAAGTTTTCTTTCGAAAGCATTTTTCATAGAAAATATTTTCCGATCACTTGTGCAGGTATTACTCAGAAAATTGAATAAAAAAATTTAAAAAATATTTTTCTTCCAACCAAACACACTCTGGAGTACTAAGTTTATTAGAGTTAGGAAACCCTAATATGCCTTTGAATTGGTCGCCAAGTGGGCATGTCTGATCAGCACGTACGCTACCTCGTCTCCTTGGGTCGGTGATCCGTAATGTTATGAGTATGTTAAATGCATTGCATATATGTGGAAGGACATTATCCCAACAAAATGTATTGCTTAATTAGTAATTAACCCGGAGTAATTAAATTTTTGTGTCAACTTATATATAATGGTAAAGTTGTGAGTAATTTAAAAGATCATCAAGATTAAAGTCACATCGTCAAATAAAAAAACTAAAATTATTTTTTAAAAAATAGAGTAACAAATTTAAAGATATAATTAAATGAATACTTTAACATTTCAATAGTTACAGTATAGTTTGAGATTTTTTTATTCTCTTTTTTTAAGAGCTCATCTCGTATCATTTTGAAAATAATTTGTTATATATTACATCCTCCGTACTAAAATCATTTGAAAACTCATTTTTGCATTTACTACCATGTTTGATACGGTTCAGAATAATACTCGTTCCGCCCACCAATAATTTTTAGAGTAATGATTAAATTACGAAGCAGTCAATAATGCGAAAAACCCCGGTACGTGCATTTTCTCTTTTTTTCGAAGTCTTCGTGATTATGAAATAAATCTCCTTAATCCGCGGGAATAATTTACAAGAGGGTTTTATGCTTTGAAATTTGTGGAGAAACTAAAAATAAGTATTCTGTATTCAACGCATAAAACCCTCTGGTAATTTGTTCCCGCGGATTAAGGAGATTTATTTCAATTAAAGAATAATTATATAACTCATGGGTAAATTGTGCACTTTTTAAAGTTCAGGGATAAACCGTGCAATTTTCAAATAGTTCGGGGATAAACGGTGCATTTTTCTCTTTTTCGAATGGTAGTGCAAATTGCAAACCAAGCCTTTTTCAATCTTTTGCTCTCTAAAATAAAATCACACTTGTTTTTGACATTCCAAAACTAGTCACATACTTACACTTTCACTTTTTTAAATGCATCTCACATTCTTTGCATTTTCATTAATTTTAACCATTCATTTAACTTCGTATTATATATTATATATATAATCTCCGTCCAAAAATTAAAAGTATATTACTCCGATCCCTCCGTATCATTTGAATCTTTTCGATCCATGTTACAAAGTTTGACCAACTTTATTTTCAATTTAATACATTTGAATGTAGGTGTAAAATTAAAAAATAAAACTCATATATTTGAAAACTACGTCAAAAGATCTAGAAAGCTAGATGTGACATGATTATTTTATTTTATCAAATGAGTAACGAAAATAAGAAAACAAAATTAATAAAGTTTGACCATGTAAATAGTGTTCGTAGAGATTCAAGCTGGACGAATGGTGTACTATACACTGTATTATTTAACTATTGGTCAAGTTATCAATTAATTTTTTTTGCAAAAAACATGTAAATAATACTCGTAAGTAGTACGGGGTATGACTTTAATTTTGAGATGGACATATTTCAAGTTAATGGGAGAAATATAATTTATAATTATAGTTTAGCATGGGAGAAATATATATAGTCTATAAATAATTATTATAGCTTAACTTCCTCTAATTAGTACTTGACCAATGAATTTTTTACACGAAGTAATTGACCAAGGAATTTTTTTCATCAGTAACTCTTTTAAAATTGCATGTGCTTTTCTAACTAGCTAGAATTTTAAAGAGACTTTAGACGCCGGCAAACATGGATCGTCCCACCGGTAAGTTAAGATAAGTTCCCTAGCTCGGCGCGTCCCTTAATTACGGAGTACAATAATCACTTTTTTTCTTTGTATATGTTTTTTCATTTCTACATAAATGTTTTCATATACTCCGTATATTTAACACAGTTATCATTGAAAACCTCTATATATTAGGCTATGTAGTATGATTGAGGATTAATAAAATTTGATGAGGTGTCATGTAAGCACCATACAAGCGGATCAATGCGCATAAAATATGTGTGGTATGGGTACTTGATCACAATCGACCGATGAAGTGGGTGTCCTGGATTATTTTGATGGATTGAAGTGAGTGTGTACTGGATTTTAATAACGTGTGAAATAAAAATATAAAAAAAAGAAAGAGTGAGCGGTTACGTCGTGATGTCAGTCACCTGAGGGGGTGATGCATGCCTGTGAGAGGCGGGTGGCCAGTATGGGAGGGGCGTGAAGGAGGATAGGAACGCCTCTCTTCATGCCCCATACTCGTTGGCCGCCTTAGACCTATGAAGTATGTATATATGTAACTAATGAATCCTTCTATTTACAATGGAAGCAGGAAAAAAATCCCGCCTAAACTTCTGGGCCGGTTACTGTAGCTATGGGCCGTTTTTTTTGCATTTCCAAACTTTTTGGGTCTGATCAATTTTTTGATAAAAAAACTGTTTTTCAAGTGCATCCCACGGCCTTTTTTTATTTTAGTAACCAATTGTAACATTTAATAAATATATTAAATCAGTAAAATATCTAATAAACTTATTTAAAATCAATATTTTACAGAATTACTTTAACATATTACTGAGCTTTATTTGTGCAAACAATAATTATACATTGAAAAAAGTTTACAGTATTTTTTTGATTTTATAAATATTATTATTACAAAAAAAAGAATGCTTATATTAATGCAACCAATAATTGAATCAGAAGCTTCATACAAAAAAATTGAAAAAGAGAAATATAAACCCACAACCACACTTCACACAATTTTAGGAGAAAAACTGCTATTATTAAATTAAAATAAAAAAAACCAGCTCACTTTGTAGCCAGTTCCCCACTTCATACGTATACAACTGCCCACTATGCCTGCACCATAGCCTTATAAATGCAGGCCATTCTCCTTTGCTTCCACAAAATCTCACATTTACACATTCCTACAAAAAAATCACAATGTCAAATGAATCAAGCAGAGATGGAGGTCTGTGGTGCGATTTGAAAGATTTGGACGACGATAAAAAAGAGAAGGGAATTTGTGTTAGAGCCGTTCGGGTTTACGACTTACCCACCCGTGAAGGAAGGCCAAGCACAATAGAAGTGATTTTTCATGACTGAAAGGTAAACACTTTAACCATGTAGATGCACATTTCAATTTTTTGTAAAAACCTTTTTTGCAGTCCTTAAAATATTTCAATAAAGTTATTTATTATAAACTGTGTATTAACATGCCTGAAATTTTGCAGATGTGATAGGAAAAGTAATTGCAAGGACTAGAATTCAAAGTCGATTTGTTCTCAGAGTTCCACAGAGATTCATTGAGCTAACTTTGGAAGATACAAGGTTATGCTATGTCCTCTAGAATGTATATTCAACTGAACTCTATTTCTAATGTAAAGTTACCAATATTTGGTTTCATAGGGGCCAACAACTACGGTGCACTCTTTGGGGAGACTACATTGAAAAGTTTAATGAATCTGTTGGTGCAGGGATCACAAATCCTATCCTAATCGTGTAGTTCGGCCGCCCAAAGGAATACATGAGTACCAATCTATGTTGCACTAATTTGATTAGAAAAAGGCATATAGGTTAACAATCAGAGGTAAATGTAATAAGGTACTGAAACATACTACAGGTTATTCGAACCTGTTATTCATGAATCTCATGCGCCGAAAGCTTCCTACAGATTACAAAATAGGTTTTAAGAATATGTTTTATAGAGAGTAAATAAAATATAGATAAAATATACAAGGTATGTTTACCTTTTCTGTTCTCGATAAGCACACATATACCATAAGTTCCTGAATTAAACCAATAAGTTAGATTTTAGGGTATGGACTAAAAATTAATAAATGTGTTAAAAAAAGATAGGGGTTTGAACTTATCTAGAATCTTTGGACCGAAATTAACAGCATCCCCTGTATTAAAAATGAATATACAACATTCAAATGTCAGCCATATTTTTGGTTCATTTTATTTAATATTTTTTGAGAATATTAATTAAATAAGTTAAAACTAAGCAGGC